ATTTCAAAAATATGCATTTATTGCGAAATATGCCGAAATATGTTCTAGCAAATATGGCTAAAATGCGTTATTTTTTTACAATTAGCATTTCCTTTTTTAGATCACAAACAAGTAATTTTCATGAAAGTCTAGTACATAGGTTTGTTAAACATTTCCAGTATGCACTAGCAGCGAGAGGGAGTGTAATGTTCCAAATGCATTTCTGCATCAAAAATAAAATTTTGAAGAAATGTCGCTTACGCCGTTTTAGTGGTTACGGCTCGATATGTTAATGTTTTTTTATTATTATTTTCAGAAAATTAGTGCTACAGGCTTTTGCCAACTTAGTCATGGGGAGATGCTTAAAAGTGATCTAAACGTGGATGCCGATTTTTCAAAAACAAATCAACATGAGCAATGATACACATTTTCACCTAAATTGATACGTTAACAAACTACTCACTGCAAGAAAAACTATGCACCCACAATGAGACACTGGGCTGAAGAAATAAAAAGTAAGCAATTGATTTTTCTTAAAATTTCAGGCCATTTTTGTGCCGAAAAATGTCGCCTTTTCATTGCCTTTTCTCTTTTCGCGTACGATTCTAAAATAAAGGTAAATGGTGAAAAAATTTCGTGTTCGTTTCTTAAAATGTCACACTCTTGTGGGGCAAACAAGGCACATTTATCTGCTCTTTGAAGCCTTGTCGGTGGAGATTGTTGCCCTCAAAATTAGACGGTTGCTTAAAACGACAATATTATGAAATCCGTGACAATAAGCCAAAAACATGCTCTTTTGCAGGGTTGAGTGTAACATCAAACACATTTTGCACCGTCAGATGGTAACATTTTTTAAATGAAACGAAATCAGCATTAAATTTATTTGAATAAATCGAGTTAATTGTCTGAAATTTCAAGAAAAAGCAATTACATAATAAGTTTTTGTTCATATGTCCCGCTGTTTGGTGTGGTTTTTGGGCAGGCGGAGTTATCGGAAGATAAATAGGTACTTCTTCGAAAGTGATGCCTTTAACGGTGCAGCGGACGTTATCGTAGCATGATAACAAATTCATTATGACCTGAATCAGATGACGTGTACTTGGACAATATGTGGTTTCAATAGCACGGTGCCACTTGTCACACAGCGCTTGAAACAATGGCCCTATTGCGAATATTTGCGGTATTATTGACGTTATACGCAAGTTGACACAGGTACAGTTAAATTCAATAGTTCGAAAAGACTTCCGTTGTTATTCAAGAAAGCCTTAACAAATCTCAAACTCCGTGCGTAATTCAGCACAAGGATATTATAACATCGATCACCTAACGGTTGCTTATAAAAACCTAAAGGAATCGGATAGTTATAGACATATTTACATATACCAAAATGATAATGAAGTGAGAAATCGATTATGCTATGCCTGTCTGTCTGTCCGTCCGTACATGCGAAATCTCGAGATAAACCTGAGATATTTTAAAAGTCTTGACATAAGTGAAAAAGTCGCTCCAGTTCCTCGCGAGCAGAGGTAGCTTAGAGAAAATACATTAGAAGATCTGCTAATGTTCAGGATGGTATAAAGACATGTAGGGTAAGACAACACTCAGCTTGGCATGACATTGGGCCTGTGTGGCCTTTTTTAAAAGTCTGGATACAAAAAGAAACTCGATGTTTGGGTATTTCGTCAATTAATTTCGAGAATTGTGATAAACAATTTTAAACTAAATGTAATTGAGTCAGTTGTGGAGCGTATGGTTCCTGCATATGAAGAATCGATCACATACGGCCATAACGTGCAAAACAGGACATGGGGCAAGAACGATGAAACTAGGCAAACAGTTCCGAAACAAGTAGTGACCTCTCGTAATTTATTTTGTTCCATCAGACACAAGTTTGATGACTCAAAAAAGCCAAGGGAACTTGACTGGGAAGTTTTGATGCATCTACAATATGTCGCCAAGTATCTACCCTAGGGACCAGTTTCTCAGTGCTGATTTAAACTTGGTTTACATTCCGTTTACTTAAACCGAATTTTTACGTAAACTAAGTTTTCCAGTGCGAGTTTAGGCCGTTTCATAGTTTGGTTGTTTTGTAGGGCAAAATTGTTTTTTTTTTGAGTATGCAGATTTGTAGCCCAATCAATTTTTTTATAATAAAGTACAAGTTTTAAGTAGCTAGGAATTACCGTTGCTTTTTTGGAAACTTTTTTCACGCAGTATCTTCCGTACAAAATAATTTTCGAAAGTACTTTATATGGAAAAATGCAAAACACCTTAAAAAAATTTCAAAAATCAATGCGATTTTTGACCAACTCCGCTCTTCCAGCTTTTTTACTACAATATAATGAGCTACAAAACTGCGTACTCAAAAGAAATTCAAAAAAAAAGTTTAAGATTAAAAAGTTGAAAATTTGCACGAAAATTTGCTGAATTTTCGGGAGTTTTGCACAAAGCTTAGGAATTATATTTTTATGTTTTTTGTTGTAGAATGAACCATATTTTTACAAAAAATTGTCGGAAAAATATTAGAAAAAAAATGTATGCATATATTGTGAAAAATTTGCTGTGCCAATACTTTTTGCCGGCAGTGTACATTAGTATGGTCCAAAAATGCATGTGAAAAAGTAAAGTCGGAATTTCTATACTTTTTCTGAATTTTACTGTTAGTCAAAGTACCTGTCCACAACACCCACTGCAATTACGGCAAATTTTACGCTCAAATAAAACGTTTTCAAAAAGGATGACATTTATTACATTTAATTTTTGCATGGCATACCATGAAAATGCAATGGCATAATGCCAAAGCTCATAAATGTTAAAATAATTACATTATTTACACATTCGGTTAGCTGAGTGGGCCAAGAGACATTTACACATGTAAAAATATTGTAAAAATATTTTGAAAGGAGAATTATTTACAACATGCAACTGAACTTACAAGTACAAGTTTTTATTTTTTTATAAGGTGTCATAAACTGTACGCACACTCATACACATACCTGTGTAGTATGTGGGTACATAAACATTTCGCATAGGGGGTATTCCACAGTCACGGGTGGGACATTTGCACTATAAACATGTACTTTATTTTTAAAATATAAGCATAAAGTTCTGAACAATTGTACATTTTGACGGAGCTGTAAAAAATTCCAACTTACTTTTATATGGGGAAAAATCTGAGTTATTTTTTCTGTCACGGGTGGGACATAAAAAAAATAACATGCTTTTTGGAGCAGATATATGTTACGGAAACTCTGCGAATTTATTTCACTTTATTTGCACTAAGGTTCAGTTTCTCATGGAACCTACCATATGTGTATGTATGTATTTCGAACCACCTTCAAGAAACCATGAATGTTATATCTACTTGCAGTATATAACGGCAAAATGTACATATGTACGTATTGATCATAATTAATGTGTGCATTTTTTTATTTTCGAAATTCAACTTTCCATGTATCGAGAATATTCTTATTTGATTTTAATTAATGCAGTGAAAATATGTATACAAAAAGCTACGTGTGCATGTATTTTCGTGTGTTTGAAATGACCTAATTCATATAATTAAAAATCATTCCAAATTTCGAAAGAGAATATAAAATAAAAAAAGAAACTTATACCAAAGTATACTTGGAAGTCACAGAGGCGGCGGCAGGCGCCCAATTTGCGAACGCACAACGGCAAAACGCTGAGGTGCAAGGCGAGTGCGGCGTATAAAATATACATACATATATGTATATACTTTGTTATATGTGTATGTATCGAGTAAACGCATTCATTTCTGTAAGTACTCGTATATAAATACACAAATGTGCAGCAGAAATGGAATGTTCACACACACCGGCGTGGTGTTATTCTCACATTCTCAAGCGAATATACTCGGCACAAAGTGCGCGCAGGTACATTAGACCGAGTAGGCAAAAAAAAAAAAAGTTTGTAATTATCCGCGCTAGTTTGAAAGTTTACTTTGAGAGAATTTTGGCTTCATACAGATTTTTGTTCTTGACATGTCCTAAAGGCAAAGTTTTCTTCACAAGTGTTGCAGAACTCTCTGTAAACCCGAAAACTATATTTTTTGAAATTTTCAAATCAACGGGGTTTTTAAATATTCCCATAACGGGTTCTTAAAGTGCGTATTTGTAGTTGGAAAAAATTTAAAGTACTTTCTATATTATTGTAGGGATGTAGCGAAAGTTTCGAGATATAAAAAATTGTTATATACTTTTAAAATTTGATCGCGCCTATTGTAGGAATATGTAAGTTTACTGGTTATATAAACATCTTTTTGACTTTGGATTCTATGGTCATTCTCCGACTAAACTTAATACAATGATATGTTAAAAATTTTTTAAATAAATTTTTTTTTTTAATTTTTCGAAGATCTGACCTTTGACCACTTGTAGCACCTGTAGTAAAAGTTTGCACTAAAAATATGTAAATAAAATATTTTTTTTTACCAAAGGTACAATTTCGAGCTTCGAAGGTCCGTATCTTGATTTCGGAGGCTAATTATGAAAAAACGGAGAAATAACCTTTTTACTTATGACTCAATCTCTTCAAAACAATTTGTTTGGTTCAATACCCAGAAAAAAAAAGTTGATTTAGCCGTATAGTGCATTGTATTGGACCTACAGTTTTACGCCGACTCGGAGATTTGCCATTGCCTGCCGAGGGGCGACCGCTGTTAAGATTCTATATTTTTTTTGCGATGTTGCTTTGACCAGTGCTTGAACCCAGGCCCTGCGGGGTGTTAGTGTGCACTTCTAACCACTACACCACAGCGGCCGCCAACGTACCACCCTAGTGTCAGTAAATTGAAGCGCACCAAAAATGATACAACTTTTGCTAAGGAAGCATTTTATTACTGCCGAATGCAGGTGTCACCGAAAATTTAAAAAAGACGAGTTCTAGGTTCGTCAAAAAAAGTTGTATTTCCAAATCGCCTTGCAAAAATACTTTAAAACTCAGAGGTGTTCGACGATTTTTTTTTTGTTTGCTTCTAAGGTGGTACGGTCTAATGTGCAATTATTTACGTAGATATGTTCGAATCGCCGGCCAAAGTGTGATCCAGCGCGAATTTATAAGGTATTCATTGCATAAACATCAATTTCTGGGAAGAATAAAAATTCTAATGGCCGGTGAAATTGAAAGACCAAGGCAGAGGGATTGGGTAGCCATCGATGCTTCTAAGAATCTAAACAACGGAAAATGTATTTAAATGTTTTTCAAAAATAAACTAAATGACACATGGACACAAAAATGGCTGTGAGTCACGGAAAGACACACACACTCACAAAGATACTGTGATGTATGAAAGTCGATGATCATGGACGCCTGCAAGCCGATTGCGTGTGTGCCGCCGAATCATCTTATAAAAGTTGACAGCGAGTATGCGGTCAAGCGGTGCGTCTAATACATATGTAATGTACATATGAAATTCATATATGTATCTACATAATTATGTACACGCACACATACATACATGTGTTAATACATACATATATACATAGAAATATAAGGTAAATTGAGTGGTTTTCAATTGACCTCGTGAGAAATTGTACTGCATACATACATAGTTCAAAAATGAATTATTAGGGGTATTCACGATCCGGTGCATACTGTCTAGCATGGGGCATAGATATCATAAATAGCATGATTGGCTAATTTTTTTGTTTTTTGAACACATGAAACAGCAACAAAATTATCCAATCAAGCTATTTATGCTATCTGTGCACCATGATAAACAGTATGCACTGGATCGTGTATACCCCTAATAATTCATTTTTGAAATACTTTTCTATGAATTAATTAATTTTTGCTTATTTTAAAATCTGGCATATCTATATGTTTGGTAATTTAAAAAATGGACATACATTTTTGATAGTTTAAAAATTGAAAATATTTTTAATTGTATGCAAAAACAGTTTTTGAAATTTTAAAAGCTGGAAAAAAATTATTGGTAATTTAAAAACTGGACACAAATTATTGGTCATATGAAAAATATGCATACAGTTTTGGCCATTTAAAAAATGCTCCCAAAGGTTTTTGTCATTTAAATATTGAACGTAAATTTTTGGTCATATAAAATCTGGATATAAATTTTTGGTCATTTTAAAACTGACCATACAATTTTGATAGTTTATCAACTTAAAACATTTTTGTGGTCAATTCGAAATTAGAAATAAATTTTGGGTTTTTGTATTTAAAAAATTCGGTCTGCATAGATTTCTGGTAAATTAAAAACGGTACTTTTCAAAACTCGACATAAGTTATTGGTTGCTTAAAAAGTATGCATATAAGTATGTATGTATGTATTTTTGATGATTTAAAATAGTGGTTTTTGTCATTAAAAATTTCGCATACATTTTTGAACATTTCAAATGTGGAAATTTTTGACCATATAGAAAGAAGTTGACATATATAATTTAACTTCATGGATGCAAAATATAAACGGTAAAATGCAGACGACGACAAATAAGTTGTAAGAAATTTATATATAGAATTAAACAGTAAAAAGTGGAGATTGCGCTTTTGTTGAGAGCAAGTTTTAATTGAAATTGCATTTAAATATTGGTGTTTTTCGATTGATGCTTCCGGTAGAACTAATCAATCAAATGAAATCAAAATATTTGCCATTCTATGTAAACAACAATGGAAATGCATTTTTTTTATGTGGACGTTGATTAAAATTTTAAAAGCTCACTCTCTTAATCTCAATTTCGAAACGTCTTTTATAAGATAAAGCCATTTAATAACGACCATAAAAGAGATTGAGTGATGTTTATGTTCAAATGTGATTTTAGTCATTTAAATCGGCTTTTATTAGTTGGTTTCAAAATTTTAAATGATCACATGCTGAATTGTAGATATTTGTTGCTCAGAAATCCTTCGTATAAGTATATTAGTCATTTTTAAATATTTAAGTAATGCTTTTCCCTGAGATTTAGTGATTCCTACTACTTTAACTACATTGAAGATTTTTATTTTTATTTTTTTGCGGCACAAATTTTAAAAGCCAAATAATTTCAAATGTCGCTTTTCACTTTGATGGCGAACAGCATGTTGTTTGACATTTTTTTTGACATCTCTGTACAACTGCATGACTAAAGTGGACAAGCAAGATGTGTGTATGCAGATGTTCAACACAAAGAAAAGAAAAAATCAGCTCGCCTGAAAAAAATATGCACAAACATAAAATGCTTAGTAATATATGTATATGTACATATGTATGTATGTGTGTATGTATGTAGAAAACTCTTGCAAATGAGTACAGCAGAAATCACAAACACATACTACATACAAACACACATACATATACGCAGTGTTGCTTGCTAATCTCGCGGCGACTTCGCTGCTCCTAAATTCCATTGTTTTTTCAATAACTTCCTTTGTGTGAATTTACTCGTTGGTCCAAAAAGATTTTGAAAATATTTTCGAAATTATTTAATAACCCTCGACATACTTGCTTGCTTGCATACAATCATACACATCACACACAAACATGTTTTCGTTTTTTTTTTTTTGGTAGTGAGCCTCCATTATAGGCAACATTGTGTGTGTGTGTGTATGCTAGAAGATTTTTGTGCTTATTTCTAATATTCGGTATATGTATGTGAAATTTTTAACCATTTGTATTGAATGTCGCTGCTAAAATTAGCCAACTCGCCGCTTGCCGTCATCACTCTTCTCGAATAATTCTCTGGCCATTTTGTGCTGTTTTCGAGTGCTGCGAACACATGCGGAGGCGATTCATTTGGCTGTGTGTATGTATGTGTGTGTGAGTTATTTTATTTTTCCTTTTATTTTTATTTTTTTTTGTGCTCTGTGGCGCTTGGTGGCTTGACAACAGCTGTTTATGAGCGAAGTCGATTTATTGAAACTTTGCTAAGATTTCAAAACTTTTTCGATGATAAAATCAAGAAAATTGCTCGCATTCCTGTTTGGCTGCAATGATGTCTGCCGCATTTTGGGCTCACCCGGGCCAGGAGTGTTTTCTAAATTTGTCGCAACGCCACGCCACGCCACGCAACACTTCCCATTCCCATTCTTCAGTGCATCCATCAGGCGCAGTGTAACTAATTTTTCTTCGCGTTGCATTCCAACGCTGACTTCCTCCTTGGCACCTTGGCTGCGCGGGTACAACGTTGCGTATGAGCAACAGGGAATCGCGCGTATGTACATAGCTGCTTTGCTGCATATTTTGCATGCACACATTTTATTGCCTGCCGCCTCTTCCATTTGCATTTACTTTCGTATGTCGTTATATATGTATGTATGTATCTATGTTTTGTTGCATTTCACCTTACTTTTTATTTATCCTACGCTTTGTTTGTGGCATTTTTGTAACTTCTTCTTTTACTTGCGCTCGTTTGCGTCTTTATTTTTGCTGCCAGTTGCTTCTGCCGTGCGCCTATTTGGTAGCTTTCAATCAAAATCTCCGCTCATTATCGGTCGCATGCCATGCATCCCGCATCCCGCATGCCACGTCCCCAGCCGATTCAGAGCCCGATGCGATTGAAGTTCAATGCACATCATTATCACTCGCAGCGATACGCAAGGGTAATTTATAATTAGCCAAGTGTTTGTGGCTCCACATCGATTTTGTGGCCGAACTGTTTTCTTGCAATTCACTTTTTGTGTGCAATCCACTTTCGCTTACTTTTCAGCTGTTCGTTTTGCAAATTCTTCGTTGTTTTCGAATGTGAAAGTGTAGCGGCGTTTAGAAGAAATTTGGCAAGAAATTTGAGTTTTAGGGGAAATTTAATGTGGAAATTTCGTTCACAGTCCGCAGGTACTGTTCAAATCTAAGGCAGCTGAGAGTTTTCTCGTAGTCTATTCGAAGTTATACCAATTTCCTCTCAGATGGAACTGCATACCAATCCAAAATATACCGGAGAGAAAGGCTGAATGGCAATCCTGCCTGTTAATCGTCTATATTTTCTTCATTCAAACTCAAGCAATAAATGAGCGTTTCAGTGCATCAAGCTTAGCACTTCCTTCGTTCCTTTCTTCATGCCACACCGACGGCCCAGGCTAAATTGTAGTAAAAAACTCCGGTGATCCAGGAATGCAGCTAGGATCATATAAATTGAGGCTTAGAGCAAACAAGAGTGCACTGGCAACAAATAAGCCAGGAAGAATCAACTTCTTGAGTAGCTAGACACATCTACCCAGAATTGAATAATGACAGGTATAGGCTCCGTTCTTATTTTCGAACGACTACAGCCAAAATTGTAGGGACGATGCGTCGTAGAAATCGAGAACGTAAAAAAATTTCGCTGTCGTTGTCCTGCCTGAGCTTAACTCAGCCGGCGATGTCTGCATCAATACTTTTTTATACAATCTGTCGGACTTAAGTTTGACAAAGGATGTGGTCGAGGGCGGCCATTATAGCTTAACCTAACCTAACCAGGTTTAAAATAATAGATTATCTAAGAATACCGATGTCCCAAAAATATTAGGTTCATATGTAAATACATATGTATACTACGCATAATTTTCATACAAGATGTGAATGTGAATTTCTGTTATTTTCGAAGCAAAAGGACTATGTTAAAATGCGTTTGTAACTCCCCATCCCTCACCAGATACTCACCCTTTGGCGCAATTCACGTTCGGCTTCAAGATCATCTTGGAGCAAACGGATTTTATCCTGCAAGTAAAGCGAAATTTGAAATGCTCACATTATTAAGGATATTTTTATTTTATTTTTTATTTTTTGCTTAAAATTGACGCGCGCGCGAAGTGAATTATGAAATATATTTTTTGCACACTAACACAAAATTTTGTTTTCGGCTTGTTTGTTTTTGATTATATTAACAGTTATGTATGCAAACTATGTTTTTGGTACAATCCTTGTCACAAGTCACCAGTTTCCTTTTGATGTATTTTATGTACTACTTTTTAAAATAAGCCACATGTATCTACATATGTAGTCTATATAAATACATACATACATACAAAGTTCTGCGTCTTTTTTTAACTCTTTCGCGTACCAAAAATATACGCGCACATATTTCACAGCGACTCTGCTTGGCGTTTTTCGTTTTATTACATAATTCGTCTAGCATATGCGTACCTTCGTATAGAGTACATAAGCATATACATATGTACATATATACATTTAAGAGTACATAATTTTAGTAATACATATGCAGCTTTTTATATTTGTTCGATTTTTTTTTTAGTCTACAAATCCGCGCGTGCACATTTTTCGCTTTGCTTTGCTGCAAAATTTTCAAATTTCAGATTTCTTTTCACACCACTGTGCCGAAAATAGCCGAATGTACGAAGAAAGGCTCGAGGATCAGTTGGACACTTGAATTACAAAAACATTTTTGCACAAATTTCGCTCTAAAGAGTTTTGAAAGTGTTTTTTTTATACATTTTAGATTTTCAGTTTAGCTTCAATTCGAGTTTGAATTGATTTTTCATTAATCCAATATTCATGATTTTTTACTTGTCTCTTTATTCTATTTCTTATATTCCTTTCCGTTTTCGACGCGTGTCTTACCTCCAAACGGGAGAGGGCGGCCAAATCAGAGCTGTATTCAATGGAGATATCAGCTCCACTCGGTCCAGTTGAGGTGGCCCTATACGAGTATTTCGATGAGCGTACTGCTTGCGACGAGGACATTTTACTTTTTTTGTGTTTTTTTTTTGTTGTAAATTTAATTTATAAAATTAATTAATGAATAATGAAAATTATTATTTATTTTAAGTTTTTCACTCAGGTGAACACTTCGTTCGCGCCCCCGCGTTTTGTGTCTGGTTGTTGTTGTGTGGAAAAATTTCGATTTCCCTGCAATGCAGTTGTTATCCTCCAGTAACAAAAATTTTGTAGGTGTGAGACTAAATCAGAAATTATTTCGCACTCCACACACAAAAGTTGTAGTTGTCACCGAGTCACCGAATAATTCGTAATAAACGTCGGAGAAAGGCTGGTGATCTACTGAACAAGAGATCCCGGTGTCGTTCGAATAAAGAGTATTTCGTAAATTTGGCGCTGGCAGCCGATCTTTTCGTCTATTTCTACCCCAACGACGACGAGACGTTGCAATTATTTTCGAGTGGGAATTTCTCGTCGGCGATCTGTGGACATATGTGTGTGTGTGTGTGTGTGTGTGTGTGTGTGTCCAAGTGTTGCTGATTGTTCTTGTTGCCGTATTTGAGTGGACTATGTGTACCGTTAGGCATTCTACAGGCACACTTGGGCAGACAATTTTCTTGCTCATAGCTTTTTTGAATACGGACTAGGCGTACGAAAACTAAGTGTGTACGTGTGTACGTGTGTACGTGTATGTGTTTTTATTGAATTTTTCACGCTCCACTCACACCAGCTGTCCTCTGTAAGTGTTAATTGCAGTGAGTAGACGGGTAGCAGGGCGCAAGACGAGCGTGGAAACTGTTCGAATCGTCGTTGTTGCCGATTCCATTTTCGAATTATTCGTTTTTCCATTTCACGAGCTGCTAACGTACTTGCCATACGAATTGAGTATTTTGGTGGCTAATGCGCTCGGGTCAAGTCGGTCATCTTGACGTGGACTACATATATTGAGCAATTGAGATTTTTACCTGTAATTAGCGTAAGCGGCAGATGATTGCCGCGATGGCAAGGAGTAGAGGCGTCTGTCTGGTTGGGTGTGATATACGAATATTCGCTAGGAAATGGTTGCATGGACGCATGCCATATGAAATCTTGTTGTTGCTGAAATGGTTTTCGTTGTTGTTGTAGCATTTTGAATTTATTTTTAGTCGATGTTCCGAAAAATTCATAAATCTGCAGAAAGGTTATGCTTCTGTACGCTGGCAAATTACCAGAAGTTGAGGATTTGAATTTGATGAATGGTACGCAATGGCTCTACGTTATTTTACTAACAAAAAGTGGGTTTTAAAAAAGTACATATGTATGTATGTAAATACATATACTTTCTTAGTTAAATCTAGAAAATGATAAAAATGTATCTCAAGTCCACAGTCGCGCTGTAGCATAGCATATTATCCATATCAGAAAATGGAGAGAAAAAATAGTCTTTATACCTAAAGCGGGAAAAAACTTATATCATCTACTAAAGGCGTATAGACCAGCAATACCCGCGAGTACAACACGATAGGATTATGAAAATTGTATAACCAACTGGCTCGAAAACTTGCAGACACTTGTGGCTTTCGTCGAGGAGCGGACCTACACCAATAAACCCAAGGAAGCCATACGCACATCGCCAACAAATGTGCTTGGAATCTTGATAGCCATAACGCATCTGGACAGTTTTATTGAAAAAGAAGCCTGCGGGAGTATCCTCAGGTTACCGAACATTAGTCAAAAAAGATCAATTGTTTGAACAAATTTCTATATAAGAATTATATTTTAAGTGTAGAATGCAGTATTAGATCTAGCCCTAAGTTTTTTTGGCAATACATTAAAACCAGGAAGTCTAGTTCTGGGGTTTCATCTGCTGTCTTTCTGGACGATAAACTAGCTACCAGTGCCTCGGAAGTGGTGAACCTGTTTGCGGATTTCTTTAAATCAAACTTTGTTAGTGATGAATCTGGCTCCAACTGCTCTCGCTCTTTTAAAGATATCTCGTCCCTGAATTTTGGCTGTTTAAGTTTGTCAGTGGAAGATATTGAGAAGGGTATTTTAGCCCTTAAACCCTCCACAAAAACGGATGATGATGGACAGTCAGTTGTGCTTCTCAAACATTGTTCTGCTCTCACTCTGCCTCTCAAGTTAATTTTTAACAGATCGTTAGCCTCCGGTATTTTTATCGATGATTGGAAAAGGACAGTTGTTACTCCATTTTTCAAAAGTGGTAAAAAAAATGATGTTGTTTTTACTGAATACTGTATTGCAGCGTTCTCAGCAGGGTATCAAGTCGATTGCATCTATACAGATTTTTCGAAAGCGTTCGATAAAGTATCGCATACATTTTTATTTAATAAGCTGGAATATCTAGGCTTCCATTCAGTTTTTTTTAAGCTGGCTGCGTTCTTACTTAAGTAATAGACATTGTGTAGTTTCTGTTAATGGTGTCACCTCTGCACCTTTTATTGCGTCCTCTGGGGTACCGCTAGGTCCCTTGCTTTTCGTTTTATTTATTAACGATATTAGTAGCTGTTTTTCTTTTGCTAACTTCCTTCTATACGCTGATGATTTAAAAATATATTCTGTTATTTCTAACTCCGAAGATTTACACAAACTTCAGGTCGATGTTGATAAATTAGTTAGTTGGTGCAGTGTCTCTAGTCTATCGCTTAACATTAACAAATGCTTCAAGCTCACCTATTCGAAAACACCTAACATTTTTCCTACATGTTATAGAATATACTTCAACCAGTTGAAGAAATCAAGGATCTAGGTGTTGCTTTTGATGCGCGTTTTACATTTTTAAGTCATATAGACTTTATACTATCTAAAGCATACTCCGTTCTTGGCTTCATAAGAAGAAGTAGCTCAAACTTTACGGACCCGTATACCCGTAAGTTGCTATTTACTGCCTTTGTCCGTTCTATTTTGGAATACGCTGCGTTTATTTGGAGACCTTACCATCAATTTTCCATCGACAGAATTGAGCGTGTACAAAAAATTTTTCTAAAGTTTGCTCTCTCTTCCTGAGTTTCTCTGATCCCGTCCCGACCTATAAGTCCCGATTGCTTCTAATTAATCTTAAACCGCTAGAAACTAGAAGATCGATTTTGTCGCTGTCTTTTTTTGTTTGGTATTATTATAGGAGAAACTGACTGTTCTTCTCTTTTGGAAAGGATTAACTTTTCTGTCCCTTCCAGGCCTTTACGTAGTAAATTTCCATTCCATCTAGACAGATTCAGAACTAACTATGCGTGTAATGCACCTATAGCCCGTTCTCTTCGTGAACTCAATGAGGTCTCCAACTCTATTGACTTTGATTTTTCACTATCTAAACTGTGGTTTTCTGCTCAATTAAATTGTGTTTTATAGATTACCTTAGTCTTTTATAAATGGTTAGTTCCTTAGCAGTAAGTAGTCAGTAAGAACGATTGTTTATTGATTTCTAAATAAATAAATAAATCAATAAAAAAGTTAGGGTATCTCCGTTCAAATACTTACGTACATTCGAGGCTCAATATGGCGGCATTTAGGAGCATGTCGATCGAGCCCCAACTACAACAAAGAAAAATTTGAATGTTAACTAATTTAGCGCCTAGAGTTTCTATTTTCAAAGATCTTTGCGTTTATGTAAATATTAATATGGCAACTCCAAAATGGAGACAGAAAGCTCTAAGTCTCCCACAAGAGATATGCTCCACTAGCAAACAAAAAAAAACAAAAAAACGATTTGTTGAGATGCGTTCAAAAATTTATAAATGCGGCCTGAATTTCTTATTTCTCAATTTTCTATGAGAGGTATCTGGGAATTCAATAAAAATCAATATGCATATATAGTGGTTATCATGACTATACGACAATCACATATTAACACGTTTTAGCTATTTGTTTAATTATTTTTTAATAAAAACATTGTTCAATATGTAACAAAAACCACATAAATCCATGTATCAATCTCTGTGCAATATTTAAAAAAAAATCAACAAACTTTCGAAAAAGAATTCGAGCTTAAAATCAACAGTGGAAATTTCACTATTTTGAGTTGTTTCAGGCACACCATGAATGTGCTCAAAATGTATTTGAAACCGGGTTTTCTAAATAATTTACTCTGTTTTACATATAAGCACAAAATATCAGGTATACAACCCACGGCACGTCTACCACTAAAGATTTTTATTGCCCTCGTTCGTTGCTTATGGAAACGCTCGAAGTATTTGAAATAATTGCAAATAAATAAAGAAGAAATAATTATTAAAAAATATTATCTACTACAATAAATGCGTATGCATACAAACATTCGTATGTATATATGCATTTATATACACTCACATACATATGCAAAAATACACATTTTACATGAAAAACTTGGCAGCCAAATTTTCACTCAAATTTCCACATAAACGCAAGGAATTAAAATTTTCTTTCGCATATTCTTTAGGAGCAAAGGAAAAATTAACTCAATCATGTGATTGCATATGTATGTATATATATGAATATACATATATATATACATATTGTCGTTTAAAGTACAAAACCGCGTATCAACAAAATGCAAAACCGCGTATGTGAGGTTGCATAAATTATTTACTGGATATAGCAAAAACACTCATATTTCAAAATGGTTCTCTTTATTTATAAAGCAATCGCCTTTCTGGCTAAATTATTTCAGGACGAATGGATAAGGATTGAGCCAAGAGCTTGTGTGAGCAAATCCGATTTTTGGCAGCAAATGTCAGTTACGCGGTTTTGTACTTTAAACAACGATATATATATATATGTACATAAATGTGTGGTACACCTGCATACATACACAAGCAATCGATTCGGAGCGCGAGTAAATAAAAACCACTGGTCATTCGGCTTGGACGACCAATACTAACGCAAACAAGTATTCGATATTTTTAGCGACGAAAATTTTGGATTTTTTCATAAACATTTTCCACACATTTCACCTGAGTGCGAAGAAAAATGTGTATTTTCTCGATATCGTGGCACACGGTTACAAAGTAGTTTTTACGGTGTGTGTATGTATGTATGCTTGTATGTATGTTTGTATTATAGATACACACCACACAATCTAGCAACTTATACTAACAATAAGTGCTGAGAATTTGCTTCTAATTTACTCGTAAACATCAATTTATTTTATATTCTATTTCTTTGGCTTAGGCGCTTAAAAATAAATAAATATTTGGTGCTTACGCTTTGGTGTTTGGCCGAACTTCTCCTCCTCCAATGCGTGGTGTGCGCCTTGATGTTGTCACACAAAAATGAGTGACTTACGGTTTTACGCCAACTCCGAACGGCAAATGGGTTCTCTGAGAAGCTTTTTCATGACAGTAATACGCTCGTAGGTTTGCCATTGCCTGCCGAGGGGCGGCGACCGCTGGTAAAAATAAACTTTTATTTTTTATGTGGCGCGCGCCAGGGATCGAACCATGGACCTACCGAGTGCAGGGCGCACCTCTAACCGCTCGACCACGGCGGTTTAGGCGCTTACTCATCAAATTATGGACAGATTTTACGTCTTTCCGTGGGGTTAGAAATTTGTTTTCTACCTTAAAGCTTTATTATTACTAGCGGCGAGTGGATCCCAGTCGGAAAAGTAGTAATGCATTACATGCGTGATAAATAATATAATGTATTTCTTAAGAGTTCTCGATAATATTACTGCTAACTATGTTCAAAAAGCTCCAAAAATTTAATTTTAAAACACATTCATTTCTCGATACTAGGTAATGCAAAATTGAATGCCCCACCTATCTTAGGACATCGCCCTGGGGGAAAAAATGCATTTTCGAATATGAAAAGGATTGGTTTACTGATTATTTTTTCGATTACTTTACATTACATTTTCCCACTGGGTATTAGCATGAGAATGAAGTAAAATTTTAGATATGAGATAATGATGAGGATGACGAAGGTGATGCTGACAATATTTTTCGTAGAGTAAAAATAACACAAGCCTCTCATAAATAAATGAAATAAATTTAATAACTTTTTAAAAATAGACCCGATAGATACATCCTTATTTGCATACTTTCGTAATCACGTTGGTATGTATAGTAGTGAATAGCAATAAGTGACCATCCGTGCTTTATTTTGAAGGATGCTCCTTTATT